ATTCACAAAGAAGATGTTGAGCTTGGTTTTAACTCAGGAATGCAAACTTGTCACATCCTGTAAAAAAACAAAACAAAAAAACTGACATTCTGAATCCACAGACAGTATAAAAGATCGATGCAGCCACTGTGACCTTATCCCCAGGTTTGTGAAGTCCTGCTTTGAAGCCTTGAGATGAGTCGTCATCTCGGCTTTTGGGAACTGAACTTAACAAGCAAGTGGCAGTTCTGACTGTGAAACCACGTGCTCACTGACTTGTCAAGCTAGCCCAGGGAATCCTATTGACTCTTAGAATGACCACAATTTCTAAAAAGTTCTTTATAGAATTATTACTTTTATACAATTTATATAAAAGTATTAATGTAGAGTCTTTACCTTACAATACAGAGGGCCTTGAGGTTCACAGAGTTCAAGCATGATTATCATTTTCTGACACTAGCACCAAAAGTCTGCGCAACCACAGCTATCGCCCCATGGTGGCCATTAGAAAGAATGCAGGTTTAGGTTTTCTTCTGCGTTAGCGTCATTTCTCATACCGTCCACGTCTGAATTCAGAATAGATCTATTGCGTGATTCGTGTAGATCCAAAGAAGGTGGTTGGTGTTTGCCTTCAAGGTTTTCTGCCAGAAAGATTGTACCTTACTCCAAACCCTTCGATCAGGAACTAACTGAATCAAAGAAGGATTCTGCAAGTCACATCCTTTTTCGTTCATAGAAAGATCCAGAGGATCATTTTTTTTTCATATAATAATAATAGATTACTATGTAGTCAAAGTACTACTGTATACTGTGTCCATAAAGACTAAATACAAACCAGAATGTAAGTGTTAAAATGAACAACCTAACCACTGCTTGTTAACGCAAATATCTAGTCAACCAATCACATGGCAGCAACTCGATGCATTTAGACATGCAGACCTGCTGAATTTCAGACTATTTCAGAAACTGTTGATCCACTGGGACTTCCCCACGTTTACAGAGAATGGCAAGAAAGAGACGACTGCGTGAAAAACTGTTCTCGATGCAAGAGTTCACAGAAGAATGGCCAGACTGCTTCAATCTGATAGAATCAATCTGCACAATACATGAAACCGTGAAGCAGGTGCAGAAGATTACTCCTGTCAGCCAAGAACAGGAAACTGATTCTATAATTCCCAAAAGCTCACCAAAATTGGATAGCAGAAGATTAAAAAAAGTTGCCTGGTCTCTTGTCTAACAGTAAAACTTGACAATGGCTGAATAATGTTTCTTCTGTTGGCTGCTGAAGAGAAGAGGTCTTCCAGAACACTTTAAGTATAGTTATTTAACTGAAATGGACCGATATTGCTGATGTAGCTAAATGCAACATTAACAGTTGCCTCTATATGGACAAAATGAAAATCAGTTCTATTAAAATCGCCCACAACACAAGGAATGCATGCACTGGAAAAATAGACTACTAGTTTGGATAAACATAATGTGGTTTAGGAGGGGTAACCATTCAAAAGATAGCTAGTTTAAGGGAGGGAGGGGGTCTAAAGCAGATTGTGTCAGACAATTATCAACTGACCTCCACCAGTATAAGATAAACCAGTCTCATTCTACATTATAAATCATCCTGTGCTACTCTAATAGAATCCAAGAACTTTATTACAGATACTATCTGGTTGCATTTCAGAATAAAATAAGCGGAGAGCTTTGCACTGCTGGTTAAGCAGATTGAGGCCGGTGTAGGAACTCTGAGAACTTTGAAAAGACAGATTCGTGGACAAAGGTGTAGGGAAAAGTTAACATCAAACATTCCCCGTGTCACTGCTCATCAGCATCATGATGCTGTTCACAAGCAGCCTATCAGCTCATATCTCAAGCAGGCTACTTTCATTCTAGGGTGTGGACATCCTTACATCAACTATAATCAACCTAATCTTAAAGTTAGCAGTCATAATGTTCATCTTTTGGGGAAGGGGTTGTCTTTCTGGGGAATTCTTGTCACATTGTTTCACTCTCGATGAGTTTGCATCCACATTTTCTTTCCAGATCAAAAGAATTTGAGCACAGTTCCGATCGGTCACTTTGGAAAAGTGTAGGCGAGTGTTTGGATTGTATGCCAAAGAGAGAAGACAGATTTGTGGACAAAGTGTAGGGAAAAGCTAATATCAAACACTACCCCTGTATCACTGTTCATCATTATGATGACTGTTGACAACCAGCCTATCAGATTGTATATCGAACTCCCACATCACCCCTGAGCTTTAGCCATTAGCCATTCGTGCCTTCTCCATACAGACATTGATTTCCCTAAAGTTCTTCACCTGTCGATTACAGGCAAACATCTGGATCGAAATTTACACAGAAAGCCATCATCTATGGGGAACACTTGCACCTTTATCTAAAACGTATTGTATTTATTTATTTAATACGGCTGTGTATGTATTTATTTTTGCTGAAAAAGCGGCGAGGAAATATTCTGCATGTCTGGACGATGTAACAAAAACAGACTGTGGAGGAAGGTTTGCTTTCTAAACGTCTGACTGGATCCTTTCCAGAGCGAGTGAGCGAAACCTTCCCCGAGTTCATATGTAGCACACACATTCTTCATCTCTTATTCCTCCAATGACTTCATGTTGGTACGTGAAAGCAGCCAAACCCTAAAACTGCAACATCCAGGCTGCATCAAGCTGGAGGTCTCAGGACTTTTTTTTTTTTTTTGGCTTTGTGAGGTGCTTTAGGACCATGTTACTTGTATATATATGAACAGTCAGATTTCTGGCTTTTATTTTCTTTAATGGGAGCAAGGGAGGTGGTGACTAACTGGACTCTTTACACTTTCACAAAGATTTACTAAGCAAGAACTGGTGGCTGGGGAGGGTGCCTAAAAGGTTTTAATTCAATGCATGTCAAAACTTCTTATTTTCTTTTTTGCATGAGAAATGTGCCTGCTTTGAACTATCCAGAGCAGAGGGCTCATGGGAGTAGAAACCAGCCTGCACAATTGAAGGCTGTTTGCTTACAAATGTATTTTATTAAAGACTGCTGTTACATTAAAAAAAAAACATTAACAAGGATTACATACTGTATAACAATAAAGAAGTGTTGTTTTGTAAGCTCTCCGTCTCTTGTGTTTCTCTTGGGAACTAATATTCACGTAACTGAGGTAAGTGGCTATTCTCTAAGAAGTAAACTGTAAATAATATTTTTTAAGCCACTTTCCGAGTGTATTGTGATTCAGTTGCCTCAAAAACCTGTCCCTATTTTTTTCCCTTTTTGATAAATTAGGTATTTATGTTTTATTAAACAAAATATTTATTCAAGTAAAGCCATCAAATATGGTTCTGTTATGATGTCAGCATTAAAATAAAATAAAAAAACAAAAAAAACATGTGCCCCTTGGGCTGAAAGTGTCAGCAGCTGTAAGTGTAAAAGTGGGCTTCTCACTGAAAACCAACAGGGGCTCCATGCAGGACTCCAATCTTTGTGCTTCAGGTAATCATCCAGTTTTCATTTGAAGTGGCCCCATTTGTTTCTGACACCCACTGAACTAAGAACAAGAACACTTCTGGCCGTTCTCCTCACTGCATGCTTACATTTTGAGGTTGCTTGTGCTAAAAGCTTCCCAATTGCTCAAAATCCCTAAAAATAAATTTATGGTTCTTCTACTCTTTAACAACCCAAATTTGCCCACAGACTAATGGCTAATATGGCAAATAGCTTAAAGTATTATAATGTGTGCACGTGGGTAAAAGGCCACATCCAACTAGGCTTGTATTTATTATTTATGCTTTATTAGGCTTCATAACACCTGTGGCGTTGTCAGTGACCAGGTTAGGTTTTTCTTTTTGCTGCATGCTAAATCGGTACATTTTCAAATGAAGTATCACACACCTTGGAATTACAGTTATTCTGTTAAAAGCTTGAGTGTCTCAAACAGATGAAGGTTCAAACTGGCACCTTGCGTTTTCTTTGGCGTAGAATGCTACCAGTGCCTACATGTTTCAATTATTTTATGCAGAAAATGAAGCGTTGACTTGCTGTGTAGTGACTCCAGAGTTTAAACTTTGCAAATGTCAGTTCTTTGGATAACACAGTTAAGCCCAAACAGAACAGTGTTACTGGAAGGTTTAAAAGGTAAAACTGACAACCTTACAGGATGTGTTTTATACAAATTACATGGCAACTAATGGTAATTTTTATACACATACAAGTGCAAATATAAAACTACAAAGGAAACTTTACTAACAGATTGCATTTTTGTGTACTTGACAGCTGTCTGTACCACTGATTTGCATTAATAGGTGTAACATATAATTGTAGGAATCAAATTAAATGAATCATTACCTGAACCGAGAAGAACAGAAAACTGATGGATTAGTGTTTTACACATTAAATAAAGCTCATAGAACATGCCTCATTAACCCATGTATATGTGCACTTTTCTATGCTTTTGCTACCAAAGTGCTTTCTATCAAACATTCATTTGGATTCATTGGAGAGCAACTCCAGTTTAGCATCTTGCCCAGTGATATTTGGCATGCAGAGTGGAGCGGCCAGTGATTGAACCACCTATGATCAGCAGACGCCCGGCTCTACAGACACCTCATCTGTGAGTTGACGAGTTTTGGAAGCAGCAAATACGGCAATTTCAAAGGATACTGTTCTTAAAGTTTGGAGTTTGCAAACCTAAGCTGTGCTGCCATGTTCTTCATGGAGTGAAGAGGCTTTCTCCTTTCCAAACCAGCCGTAGCTGTTCTTTTGGGTGGGGGGGTGGGGGGTTGTATTTAATATGGATGTGGAGTCTGAGACCTTGGCTTGAATTTGCTGGGACATCCACTCCTGGGAAGACCTGCATCATTCTTTTTCACATGTGACTGCAAGTCTGCTGTCAGGTCAGCATCACATTCACACTCTGACATTACTGTGTGCGGCAGCAACAAGTCTGTAACACATTCTAATGGTTTATTTCAAATCCATGAAGCAACCCCTAACTAACAATGAATAAATTTAAAAAAAATAAGAACAACAAAACCGGTGGGATTTTTAATACAGCAGACTCTCCAAGAAGAAATAAGACAACACAGGAACTCTTCAGATCTGCATATATTCTCAAGGGTAACATTCATTCTATCAGAGCTTCAGTAAGGTTTGAAATGTCAGGACAAACGTTCTAGAAATATCCTGATTGGAGAAGAAATTATATAACAAAGGGGTCGAGAAACAATGTAGCACTTGATTCTGCTGTAGTGCATGTACTCATGCCTTAGTGTCAAATGATTCTTACTTTATTTCTTACATCTACTCTGTCCTCACTCGCCTCTCAAAAACACATCAAGGGAGAGAAAGCTGGAGGTTTGGGAATTTCATTTATCCCTCCTGACAAACACATGCAGGGGACTGCAGAGAGAAGCAGACATCAGGTCTTTCTCGACAGGAGGTGTGAGGGATGGATACATTAATCCTCTTTTCCCAGGTGTTGGGTGTAATTAATAACCGCAGGTCTGTGTAAGCACTGCATTTCTCAGTGGGATCATGAGAAATGGTTACTGGAAATAAGGTTACTGGACAGAAGTGACAGGCTTCTGCGCGAGCAGCACCATCACAGTGACGACACCTGAAAGGAGAAATGCTCATTCCTGATTATCCTCCAGAGACCACGTTCAGCGTTCGACAGATATTTAGAGTGCAGTAGATTCCCCCGACTGTGCCAAAAATCATGGTTCAGAGGGATCGACTGAAAAACATGAGGGGAAAATAAAAATCCAAAAATATATATTTGTTTATATTTATATATATTTATATATTTACGAGGTATGTATCCACAAAGAAGAAATTCCAAAATAGGCAGTCTGTGTTTTTCCAAGTGAGTCCTTACTTGCGATGCCTTAAGGAAACATTAATATTAATAGTAATTTTAGTCAAAAATTAAAAAAATACAACTGGGAAACTTTGCTGTCCGTCAGCCGTGCTCTGAAACCATAATCTCCACTGTTGGGAGTCTGAAGGCTCCAAATTAGCGGTGACGTCAGGCAGCTGCACTCCAAAAACAGAAAGAAAACAAAGTCTGCAAATCTCAAATCACAAAATCCAAATCCAAGGATTCACTTTAAGAGAAGAATAAAATAAAACCTATCAGGTGAAACTCCCCTAACCGTTGATTTCACAACAACTGCAGTCTCAGAGTCTCCGCCGTGGAGCTGGCGCCGAACTGTTGAGGCTGGGTTGAGGTGTTTGTACTGGAGAAGTGAAGAGAGGTCAGCCACAGGTCCAAAAAAAAGGTGTCTTTGTGCAACAAAACAGGCCTCACCATTAAAGTGCCCCTATTAGCCTTTCTGGGGTTTGCTAAAACACCTTGTTTGTAGTCCAAGCTTTTCCTTACGTTTCTGATCTATGTCACTGTGTAACATGTTTAAATAAATCCTGCCTAGCTGCTAGTGTGGGGCACTCTAACAAAGAAACACCCGCCCTCCACATGCTCCTTCGCCGTGGGACATTATTTTGTTGCTAGGGTTGCTGTGATAACTCTAAAATATCTCCAATACTAGCAAAGCACACGGCATCGTCTGTTTCTGGCTAAAACAAGAGCATTAATATGCTCACGATACCCGTCAGCTTCTATCCTACCCTCTAAGGCAGTGGTGTCAAATTATGGGGACTTGCCAATCTGTCCCACTGGATGGCTTTGGAAAATATGGAGGAAGGCATGCATCTTTGGACTTTTAACTGTATTTTTTTTTTTTTAAGTTTTACAGATTCTCCTGCTGATAAAGACCTCCCCCACAACCATTTATACTGGACCAGAGTAGTTAAATAATAAATAAACAATTACATGACAGAAAAGTTCCTGTTTTTCACTGTCTACTGTAGAAATTTCAATTTAACTTTTTAAATTCATCAATTAACAAAAACTTTGTTTTACAAATACAGGACAGTCTGTGCGGTGAGCTACCAGGACTTTTCTGTATTTTTACATATTTATCATGTAGAAAAACTCAGATGTGCTCTTTATCTTATCCTAACATATCTCAGGAAATGAACTGTGTGGCAGAAAGTGGGGTTTTATTTGTAAAATGAGTTTGACATAATTACATTAAATAGAGGAAAATTCCCAGCAACACTGCTCTAATGGACATATTCTATTGTTCTGTCTACTGTTGTAATTAACATTTATACAATTTCAAGAGAACAGCTGTATTATGTTTGATGCTATTGGCGTGTCTTTCTGAAGTGGCCACTGCTAACGTGTTCTAAGTTGGCAGCTGTTAAAGGGCTATGCTGGCTGGGCACAAAAACGCTGCCTTGCTTCTGTTATAGCAGTGGACCGAGTGGAGCAGACTGGGCTCAGACGACGAGAAGAGGCGCTGCAGGAGTGCACAATATGAATTTTTCTTTTTTAAAGTAATCCTATTAGTTAAAAACAGCATAATAGGGGCACTTTAACTGAAACAAATAACGAAGGAGCCAGGTGTCCTCCACACATTTGTTAGTCAGGCTGGCAGAAGGCGATGGCTGCCCACTGTAGTCATGCTAGGTACTGCTGCAATGCTGTCTTCGCTCTGAAAAGAGACACAGAATGAGTCCAGCAGGCTAAAGGAGTGTCTGACAGGATATTTTCTTTTTTGTGACGCACTGTTCTGGCCCACCTGTCACTGAGGTTGGGCTCAGAGGATTGTGTCAGTTTGTGCAGGATGTCCACAAAGCCCATCTCCCTCAGCTTGTCCTGACGCTCCTGAGAACCTGATGACACACAGTGAAGCAGAGAGGACAAATAACAATGTCTGCTGACATGTAAAATCCCACTGCAGCTGTGTGTTCATTAATATGAACACAGACACATGTTCCACAGCTGTATCTTAGCACCAAAGCCTCCAATCAGCTCCCTCCTCTGTCCCTGGTCAACTGCCTTGAAGACGTCAAGATCTGGATGTCAAATAATTTCCTCAAACTGAACTCTGGGGTGTAGTTCCCCAAGCCCCAGCTCCAGAAAGGGACTGATCTATGCCATGATGTGGATGGCTGCTCCTATTCACCATCTCCAGGAGTCTCCATCCTGGGTGAAACTAGAGAACATCACCAGACTCTGGCCATTATCTCAAATTCCCCAGCTGAGACCCCCCATTCATCACCTTCATCACCTCCTGCTTGGAGTGCTGCAATGGTGCCTTGGACAAGCTGCAGTATGCTCATAAAACAAAATTGACAAAGTTTCTACCGACACCAAGTCGTGACAACACCCCGCCTTTATTCACCTCTTGGCTTTGATAAAGTTCGGTATCTCCTATAAAATCCTGCTTCCCAGTGCTGATCAGACATTTCACCTCCTACACTCTGTCCTGGACTCTGTGTTTCCCAGATAACAGCCTGCTCTCCTTCCCTAACAACACAGCCTTCAGTGCTGGTACCCTGATTCTTTGAAATATGCTCCCTTCTGAGATCTGCCCACCTTTGGGCATTTTCAAATAGTAGGTGAAATGTCACAAGCCTTCAGGACAAAAGGCAAACTATAGAAGAGAAATCAGAGTTTAATTAATAATGATGAATGAGTAAAGAAGAAACACTCAGTGCAAAAATGATTCCCAGATTCATCCCATCTGGTCACACAGCATGTTAAGATTTAATGAAGAGAACAATAACTTCAGTTTTAGCTGAAGTTAGAAGCAGGAAATTAGAAATCAGAGACATAAAGGGATGAAATTCATTCAGGCCGAACACATTTTCTCTCCAGCTTACAAGTTATCTCCTTTAAGGCTCAACGATTGTTGCTTTTTTTCACTATTATCAAGACAATCGACCTCTGTGGGAGCAGAGAGTTGGCACTGAAGACAATAAAAGTGAAGGAAGGACATCTTAAAACTCTGTTACAGCACTTTCAGAAGGCCATGTACTATAATTAGTATTAAATCCCCTGTATATTCCTATGGCTGACCTCTTTTTAAAACAAACAAAAAACAAACACAGAAAACAGTAAACTGTAACTTCAAAAGTCTGAGTTACACTCTCCCTGAATGAGCATTTAAAAGACTAAAATGTAAACAACCATTTGAGAGGTCGACTTTATTACCATGCTCCTTCCATCTTACACAGCATTTCTCCATCAGACATCTTTCAGCGTTGTACTCGCCTGTGACGTGCCTTCATTCTGGTAAATGTTCTATAAACTAAAGCTGAACACTTAAGACCTCAGTTCTTACTACTTTAACGTGAGCTCAGCTTTCTTCATGTTCCTCGGTCTCCTTTATCTAAACCCATGCCCTTTCTTTATTAGTCCATGTACCTGTGCGCTGCATTTCTTACCGTCCTCCTCATTCCAGATAAGGTTTGAGACGCAAAAGGTTGCAGCAAGCTGCAGTTTCACATTCGAATGCCCCTGTGGGAACAGCAGACATCAGAGAAGTTACAAGTCAAGAAAGACGGGACAATGACACAGATCAATCAGGCCGCGACCTCTAGTATGTGCTTAAACACTAACAGTGTGCACAGTACCATATAGTATTTGATTTTCTGGAGCATGTCGTCATTGGTCATGATGAGGTCCTTGGCTGTGTTGCCATCAGCAATGTTGACTAGGATGCACAGCGTCTGACAGACAAAGTGTTACATCAGTGCTTTTATCTGAACAGTTCGTTCTGAGGTTAAAAAATAAATAAAAGAAAGCAACAGGCAACACATTCACAAAACTGGCAACATTTGATCATCACACTTTGTGTTTGTGGACGGGGACGTCAATCTGTCCACTTAGAAGGCACAAACCGAGTCAAACTGATAACAAGAGCACTGGCCAGGCAACAACAAGACAACCCCCAAACCATGGACCCCTCTATAGCTCTGCCTTGATGCCTGCAGTACACTCAGCTTGTAGTTCCCTCAGTATTGCACATCCATACGTACTGTCACATGAAGGTTTACTGCACAGCACAGTGTCAACGATGTGGAAGAAATACCACGAGGAATCAATATGACCAAAATCTCATATTCGATATGACATTTCTCATCCCAATGATGATAGAAATCACAAAATAGTGCTTTTTCTGTAAACGCTGTGACTCTCAGGCAGCTCGACCTGGGCGTCATGTACCTGGAGTCGAGTGTTTTGATCGATGCATGAAACTTTATATTTGTAGATAAAAGTTGCAACAGCTGCCATTTTCTTTCTGAGTATTTATTACACGGCACGCTGCAGGGAAAAGCCTGTTCTAATGTTTTGAGCACCTGACGGCTCTTTTTTTGCTTCTCATCCTTAAACTCTCTCCTTACTCTTTCACGTGATTCGTTCGTAGGTGGTTGAGAGGTTTGTCGTGTTTGAGTCTGTGGTGGGGACCGGTTTGCAGCATAACTTGCATAGTACAGTGTTCTGGTCCGTGTCAGACTTTTCATAACAAACCATGTCCATGCTACAGAGGGAGCCTCTCATTTAGGAATAAGGTCCTCGATTTTTGTTGACTGGTCCTTCTGTTTGGAGCTGCCTGGTTCGTCTTCACTGGCCATGCTGGTATTCTGTGTGTCTGCATCCACGTGGTGGCCATCCCAAAAAAATATATTGCTGTAAACAGTGGATTTTGCTCCACGACAAAATAAAAGATAGCTTATAATATGAAACCAGAGAAGTTTTAATTTCGTCATCCGATACATTTCGTCATATGGCACAGCCCTAACCCCCCCCACCACACACACACACACACACACACACACACACACACCTTCATCACCAGGAACCCAGGGCCCACTGCACCAGTACAAGGTTTATTTTATCCACTTACCAAATGCAGCTGGACGAAAACTCCCACCCACTCCATGACGTGCACCAGTGAACAACACCGGAAATCATCTCCTTGTATAACTCCTCCATCGAATGCACAGTGCAGTAGTTACACCCTTTTGCACTTGCTCTACAGCAAAGTTTTACAAATTAATGTCAATCATATCTATTTCACTTCTTATAATTGAGCTATTTGTAAATATTAGAGCCATTTCTTATATTTTGTAAACTTTGTAATATATTGTATTATTTAATTTAGTTCAGTCTGTTACTGTTATTTTCTTGGAGCAACTGTAACCACATATTTCAACCTCCTCCAACATGCCCTTTCTGAAGGCTCTCTTGTTGCCTGTCCAGTCCATCTGTTGTTACTTTCATCTGCATCAAAGCAACTGTAATAGATTCACAGTGGTTTGTGCTCCCTAACTGGACAGATTGATATCGCTGAAGTTTAAGTGAGTGAGTGGCCTTGGAACCCTTACTAGATTGACAGGCAGCAGCAAATGCTTCTCCAAGATCACCGTTATCTTTTCTACTGGGCACTGTGTTAACACACCTGAACATTCCAGACCAGCAAACTGTCAAAACGTCTGCATTTATAGAGATTGGTCAATTAAGTACATTTGTTAGCAGCACCTGGTTGCTGCTTTTCCCTGTATGATAGGAATGGTGCAATGTGTCCTGTTGTGCTGTTCATCCAGGATTGTACTTAATTTTATGACCTGTTTTGGACCAGATTATTGTTTATGTCCCGATACAAACACCACTGAATTTAATAGGACAAGACTGACCTCAGGCAGACAGCCTGTGATCACATAAGCAGAATGTTTAACTGCTCTGCCACACAGCAGCACGCTGAACTTAGAAAAAATAAATCATCTCTACGTGTGAAGCAGACGGGTGCTCACCTGCTCTTTGACCTCTATACTGTGCTCCGCTTCGAGGATGAGGGTAACTGCCTGCATGATCTGCTTCCCATGGGAGCTCATGACCTGGTCAATGTGCTGACAAAATGAGAGTTGGGAGTAAAGGGGAAGCAAAGGAGAATCAGTCTGCATGTTGCACTTAAGACCTCTCGACAATTCATTCAAATTCAGCCCATACTGGATCGTTCATATGTAGTGATAACACAAGTGGGGAGCATTCAACGCTGACCCAGAGGTCAAGTACCACCTATGGCTACGTTCACACTGCAGGCGAAAGCGCATCAAATCAGACTTTTCTGACCCTGTGCGACCCATCTATCCCATCATGGTATGACAGTGTGAACAGCACAAATCCGTCCATCCATCCATCCATCCATCCATCTTCATCCGCTTTATCCGAGACCAGGTCGCGGGGGCAGCAGCCTAAGCAAAGAGGCCCAGACCTCCCTCTCCCCAGCCACCTCCTCCAGCTTATCCGGGGGAACACCAAGGTGTTCCCAGGCCAGCCGAGAGATATAATCTCTCCAGCGTGTCCTGGGTCTGCCCCGGGGCCTCCTCCCGGTGGGACATGCCTGGAACACCTCACCCAGGAGGCGCCCAGGGGGCATTCTTGTCAGATGCCCGAACCACCTCAGCTGGCTCCTTTCGATGTGGAGCAGCAGCTGCTCTACTCTGAGCCCCTCCCGGATGGCCGAATTTCTCACCCTATCTCTAAGGGAGAGGCCAGCCACCCTTCGGAGGAAGCTCATTTCTGCCGCTTGTATCCGCGATCTCGTTCTTTCGGTCACTACCCACAGCTCGTGGCCATAGGTGAGGGTAGGGACGTAGATCGACCGGTAAATTGAGAACTTCGCTTTTACACTCAGCTCCCTCTTCACCACGACGGACCGGTGCAGCGTCTGCATTACTGCAGCTGCAGCCCCAATCCGCCTGTCGATCTCCGGCTCCCTTCTCCCATCACTCGTGAACAAGACCCCAAGATACTTGAACTCCTCCACTTGGGGTAGGAACTGATCCCCGACCCGGAGTGGGCACTCCACCCTTTTCCGGCTGAGAACCATGGCCTCACATTTGGAGGTGCTGATCATCATTCCCGCTGCTTCACACTCGGCTGCAAACCGTTCCAGTGCGAGCTGGAGGCCCTCACCCGATGAAGCCAACAGAACCACATCATCCGCAAAAATCAGAGATGAGATTCTGAGGCCACCAAAGCGAAAGCCCTCCGCCACTTGGCTGCGCCTAGAAATCCTGTCCATAAAAATTATGAACAGAAACGGAGACAAAGGGCAGCCCTGGCGGAGCCCATCACCCACCGGGAACGAGTCCGACTTATTGCCGGAAATGCGAACCAAGCTCTTGCAACGGTTGTATAGGGATCGAATGGCCCGTAGCAATGGGCCAGACACCCCATACTCCTGCAACACCTCCCACAGGACACCCCGAGGGACACGGTCGACTACCTTCTCCAAGTCCACAAAACACATGTAGACTGGTTGGGCAAACTCCCATGCACCCTCAAGTATCCTGGAGAGGATAAAGAGCTGGTCCAGTGTTCCGCGACCAGGACGAAAACCGCATTGTTCCTCCTGTATCCGAGGTTCGACTAGCGGACGAACTCTCCTTTCCAGCACCCTGGCATAGACTTTCCCAGGGAGGCTGAGGAGTGTGATCCCCCTGTAGTTGGAACACACCCTCCGGTCCCCCTTCTTAAAGATGGGGACCACCACCCCGGTCTGCCAGTCCACAGGTACTGCCCCTGATCTCCACGCAACATTGCAGAGGCGTGTCAACCAGGACAGCCCTACAACGTCCAGAGCCTTCAGGAACTCGGGGCGGACCTCATCAACACCAGGGGCTCTGCCACCAAGGAGTTGTTTAACTGCCTCAGTGACCTCGCCCCTGGAAATTGGCGGGTCATTCCCCTCATCCCCAGACTCTGCTTCCTCCCCGGAAGACGTGTCAGTGGGATTAAGGAGGTCCTCGAAGTATTCCTTCCACCGCCTGACAATTTTCCTCAGTCGACGTCAGCAGCGCTCCGCCAGCACTATACACAGTGCAGGTAGAGCACCGCTTTCCCCTCCTGAGACGCCTGATGGTTTGCCAGAATCTCTTCGAGGCAGTCCAAAAGTCTTTTTCCATGGCCTCTCCGAACTCCTCCCACACCCGAGTTTTTGCTTCAGCCACTGCCCGAGCCGCATTCCGCTTGGCCTGTCGATACCTGTCGGCTGCCTCCGGAGTCCCACAGGCTAACCAAGCCCGATAGGACTCCTTCAGCCTGGTGGCTCCCTTCACCTCTGGTGTCCACCATTTGGTTCGGGGATTACCACCACGGCAGGCACCAACCACCTTGCAGCCACAGCTCAATGCAGCAGCTTCGGCAATGGAGACGCTGAACATGTTCCATTCGGACTCAATGTCCCCAGTCTCCCTTGGAATGCTGTTGAAGCTCTGCCGGAGGTGTGCGTTGAAGATCTCGCGGACTGGGGCCTCTGCTAGACGTTCCCAGCACACCCTCACTACGCGTTTAGGTGCACCAAGTCTGTCCAGCGTCCTCCCCCGCCACCTGATCCAACTCACCACCAGGTGGTGATCAGTTGACAACTCAGCCCCTCTCTTTACCCGAGTGTCCAGAACATATGGTCGCAGGTCTGGTGATACGATCATCGACCTACGGCCTAGAGCGTTCCTGGTGCCACGTGCACTTATGGATACTCTTATGTTCGAACAGGGTGTTCGTTATGGCCAAACTGTGATTAGCACAGAAGTCCAATAACAAAACACCGCTCGGGTTCAGATCAGGGAGGCCGTTCCTCCCAATCACGCCCCTCCAGGTCTCGCTGTCGTTACACACGTGAGCATTGAAGTCTCCCAGCACGACAACAGAGTCTCCAGGTGGAGCACCTTCCAGCACCCCACCCAGGGACTCTAAGAAGGCTGGGTACTCCGAACTGCCACTCGGCGCATAAGCGCAGATGACAGTCAGGACCCGTTCCCCGACCCTAAGACACAGGGAACAAACCCTCTCGTCCACCGGGAAAAACCCCAACGTACCGGCAGCAAGCCGAGGGGATATTAGAATACCCACCCCAGCCTGCCTCCTGTCACCAGGGGCAACTCCAGACTGAGACAGAGTCCAGCCCCTCTCCAGGAGACTGGTTCCAGAGCCCAAGCCATGCGTAGAGGTGAGCCCGACTATATCTAGACGGTACCTCTCAACCTCACGCACTAACTCAGGCTCCTTCCTCACCAGATAGGGACATGGAATGTCACCTATTGCCAGTCTTGGTAGCTGGGGGTCAGTCCGCCAGGGCCTCCGCTCCTGGCCGCCACCCGGCACACAATGCACCCGACCCCTATGGCGCCTCCTGCGGGTGGTGGGCCTGCGGGAGGATGGGCCCATGTCTCCTCTTCGGGCTGTGCCCGGCCGGGCCCCATGGACTAAGGCCCGGCCACCAGACGCTCGCCCTCGGGCACCCTCCCCGGGCCTGGCTCCAGGGCAGGGCCCCGGTAACCCTATCCCGGGCAGGGTAAACTGTTCCCTCGATATTCTTTTCATAAGGGTCTTCTGAATCGCTCTTTGTCTGGTCCCTCACCCAGGACCAATTTGCCATGGGAGACCCTACCAGGGGGCATAGCCCCTGGGATCCCTGGGACACACAAACCCCTCCACCACGATAAGGTAGCGATTCAAGGAGGAGCAGCACAAATCCAATATTTTCAAATCCGACCTGGGTCACTTTCATATGTGGTACTGAATCCGATACATATCTGATGTTCTAGAAAGCGACTGCTGTTTGAACGGTCATGTCGCATTAAATCCGTCTTTTATGTCACTGACACAAGACAGACGCCAATTATCAGTGCCAGAGAAGACATCGCGAATGCTTCCTGGCCATCCAGTGAAACTGTTTGGAAGACAACGTTGGAGAAACGTGAACATTTTATTTATACTGTATAATCTGCAGATTCTGACAGAAATCTGCAACTATCCTTTGAAGCACTGCTCCTCTCTAAAACAGCAATAAGGATAATTATTAGGCCATTTGTAAATGACAAAATAACATAAAGCAAAATTGGGAAACGTAAAGTCTGAAACAAGTCTTTATATTAAGGTCCATCAGTCAAACAATCCTGTTTGCTCTGGGTCTAAACAGAGCGCGTTGTGTGTGTCGTCTTCTTTTGTGCATGCGAGCCACTTTGAGGGTTCACACTAGAGCGCGTCTGCTGTCACATTTTAATTGTAGTGTGGACAAGCAGAGAAAAAAAAAATCGGATTGATTAAAAAAAATCGGAATTGAGCATTAAGACCTGCAGTGTGAACGTAGCCTATGACATATGGGCCACCTAAGAGCAGTTCATAAACAGCAGCAGTACATTTGTTGCATAAACTAGACTCTTTTGTGAAAGTGGATTTTGTTGATATCGAATCTGACGCAGCACGATAGTCACGATAATATTTGCATGTAACCAGTGGAAAGCTAAAATTTATTTATTCATTTAACAACATCATTTCATAATTACTGCAAAGTATCCACAGCAAACAGTACACATTTTAAAAATATCTTAAATATTATCTGGGAAATATTAATATTAGCTTTCTCTGCTCTACTGTAAACTGAACAGAGGTTTTGATCGGTAATGGGACAAAACATCACCGTGGAATTTGGGAAGCTGCTCTACACACCAAACTGTTGTAGCTACTTAACACTCATTCATTAGTATCCAGACATCAATTTTCTTGTGCTTATCCAAGCTTACCCAGCTACTGGCTCCCTGTGTGAGGATATGAATGGGAACCAGAACTGGAGACAGTCTCTCTGGCGTTGGAGCCTCACATTCCTCACTCACAGAGTCATATGCCAAAACAGCAGACTCCTTTTGAGCCCCTAATCTGAGCTAAGATTGTACTGATGGACACCTACATCAGAAACTGACTTGTTTTTCGTTGTATGTAAACATGTCTTTGTGTTGAAAGTGAGAAAAAAAAACTCCTGGTGTGTTTGTGTGATTCAGAGAACACTACCTCTGCCATCAGATCTGTGACTGCAGACAGGGCCAATATAAGGATCAGACCATCGAGCCCAGCTTGACTTAGAGTTCCTCCTAAATGACCGGGTTTTCCCATGCTCTCTCTGAGGAAGAACCCATTTCCACCACTTAAATCTGATCTTTTTCCTTAGCTTGTGGCTACAGGCAAGGGTAGAAACACAGATCAACAAGTCTGGCTTCACACTCAACTCTGTTTTCACTACAACAGTGTATCGATGCAGACACTGCACTAGTCTACCACACTGTATCCACTCATTTTAGCAACTGGAGATTGGACCGCCAACTGACCTACAAAGCGCCAGACCCTCAGCCACGCGCTTGCCAAAAAGCCCCACTACAAGGCCTGACTCGAAATCGAGGGCCTCTGTATCCCTGTGCTGCATGAGTTAATCCTTTGAATGTGACTTTAATCACTGTTTTTATAATAAACTCATCAATCTGACCTTCTAACCAGGACCAATTTGCCCTGAAAGAACCTATGAGGGCTTAATTCCCCCCGAAGACTACAAATCTCACCAAACATTCATGGATTCTTTCATACTTAAGAAAGCTCAAAAGCTTCAAAGCACTTAGTAGTTTGTAGCGACTCACTTACAATAGAAACAGTGTGCATTACACCAAATCACAAGAGTTCAACGTCCTACAGGAAACACGCTACCGTTTATCTGTCCACTCCTATTAGAAACTAATCTGACTGCTTATTGTAGAGCATTGACTTTGTTGTGACTGTTGTTGTAATATCAATAAAACTGATTTAAGTTACAATGTGATTCAGTGTGAAGTTTTGTGCTTTAAAAAATGCAAAGCCTTTGAAATTTGACTCAGAACGAGGTGATTTCCATCTGAGATTTAATTTGAGCCGGTGAGTGTTCAGCAGTTAATCGACACAATAATCGAAAGCTTATCCAACAATGAAAAAAAACCCCAAAACAAACAAAAGAGAAAAAGCTTTAATTGCAGCCTTATTCATGTCTGTTCATGTGTGTGTTTGCGTGTCTCACTGCGCGTTGCGACAGTAGATTGCGCAGCAGACCGAGGGTCTTCATCAGCACGTTGGTGTCGGGGTCTGATAGCAGGCGGAACAGCTGTTCTGTGCCCAAACACCGAACAATCTCCACCTTCACCTTCTGATCAGCTTGGAACGCCATATTCTTAACACACAAACACACAAAGTAGTCAGTCGGGATATTTTAACATCAAGCTAAACACAGCAGCTCACTTTTACAGTGCAGACGAAGGGTGGAGGGGAATATTTTAAAGTAAAAAAATTAAATAAAAGCTCACCATCAGGGCCCAGATCCCATTGACTCTCAGTGCAGGACTGTCGCTCTGGGTTAGACTGCATAGTAATTCCATTACCCCTGACTCCAGGATGGGCTGCAGACACACAAAGACAACTGGACTCAACATTAAAGTAATTAAAAAACAAAAAAAGAAAACGTTACTTTACTAAACAGCTATTTTTTAACATCTCCATCAGGAACGGCATCATCATCATCATCATCAGTCGTGCAGTCTGCAGAGCATTTCCTCTCAAATACTGTCTGCATGGGGCTGTTGCCTACCTACATTCATAATCAGCTCTTGTAGAAACACCTTATACAAATGTGGGAGCCGGGTTTGTCTCTTTTTGGTGCTTTGCCTGTGTCAGAAATGCAGGTGTGACGTGTGCGCCTGCTTTTTGGTTAAAAGCAGCTTCTTCCTGCAGGGCTGTGAGGAGGGGTTAGTGAGTTTACAGCTTCAGAATGCAGACAATCAGAAAACAGTTCATTTCTCTGCTTTACAACTCCCTCTAGTCATTCACGGTGTCGCTCCCTCAACCACAGCCGTCCACTCTCTCCGCTTCTCTCTGCACTTCAATCTGGGTTCCTTCTCAGAGTAGGTGTAAGACCTGCACTTAATCTCTTTTGCTGTAGGGAAATGTGGCTTCTGAGCTTCTACCTGCCCTGCTGTGTTTACCAGCACATGTTCCACCTGCTCAGTTTTTAAAGCTTTCTGCTATGGCTGAAAACGAGGCTGTGTGAGCGGTGAGATTGTACCAAACTAGGACAGCTGTGAATCAAACAGCCGAACAACGAGATGAACGTGTCAGCAAACTCGATTCATTTCAGAACCCGGAGTGTCTCCATGAGTGTACCTCTTTGCTGGGTGAGAATTCCAGCAGTAGATTGCATAGTGTAGAGGAAGCCATAACCAGGACTTCATCCGGGGCGTTCTGCAAGAGCTGCGTACAACAGAACACACAACCTTAGTTGATATTTCCTCTCACAATCGCAGACAGGCTCGACGTTAATGCGTCAGGTAGAGAAACTCAGAGCTCCACTAAACAGCTGTGAAAATATGCTGTAAACAAAACTTTAACGTCAAATTCCAGTGACCTTCATCAGGGGTTTCCATACTGCATGATCGTGGAAGCTGGTTCTCAGCTGCTGCACTGACCGAGAAAGACTGTGAAGACACCTAGGACAAAACAAAAATATAAACAGGTGGTTTAATGGAGATATTCAGTGTGTCAAAGCTTTGGTTTAATGTACCAGATCAGCACCGGAGCCTGAATTAAACTGCCTGTGGTTTTACTCATCAACAGGCAAATCCCACTGTGGTCCAAGCCAGGCCTCCAGAGTGCAACAGCAAGCTGACATAAAGGGTTAAATGTGTACAGAGAATTAATACTAATTATATGATTTAAAAAGTAATGTAACGTTTTGTCTAACACAACTGTATGAGATCTACTGTAGTTACATTGGAAACATTACCGCAAGTGGACCTATTACACCAAATTCTTCAGCTCCCTTTACATTAAGGTCCCGCCCCCCTTAAGCTAGCTTCATTCTGATAGGTTGCCCTACATCTTAGTTTTCCCCAAACAGAAGCAGCGAAAGGCTGTGGCTCTGCTGTAAACCTTTTAAGAATATCGATCTTAATTAGAAACGGCAAATTTCTCTAATACATCCGTACCAGTTTGGACATGAATCTGATCCAGAGCATGAGTGCGCACAGCACGAGGAAAGCAACAAACATTAAAGCAGGACGTCTCTGTTCAGTAAATATTTTGCTCATTACTGTTTATTGGATTATTAGGGTGGATATAATATTTCAATCAAATCTACATGACTTCCTGTTAAAAGATCTACATTAAAGCAATAAAATGGCTAAAGTGGAAAACTTTCTATGCCAAAACAGGTCCACTTTAACTTTACCAAGCTCAAATTTAGTGCTAACCTCCTCAAGTCTTTGCAGCTGTCTCACTTTGCACCATACCTGACAGCCGCCAAACGGACTTTAATGCTGGATTCTGATAGGCCACTGACTATCCTGTCCATCATGTTCTCCGTCTCTGTTATCTGAAAGCCAACATGAGGGGCCGGGTTAGCACAGAAACATATAATGACACGTTTACATAAGCAAACAGAGACGTAAACCAGAGGGCACCTTTTTGCGGATCTCCTCATCGTTGGAGCCCAGTGAGGCGTACAGTTTGAAAGCTGCTTGTCTCAGCTCGTGTGCGTGTTTCAGGTCGTGGTCCAGCTGCAAGACAGCAAAGTGAACTGTTGCTGAACATTAAGTGACAAAGGTTTTTTTATTCAAGGTGAAGGATCCATTTTGTGATTAATAAATATGTTTATCAGCATTACGTATTTGTTCCTGGGAACTGAAGGCAGTAAATGACCTCAATCTGAGGGTTACCGGGTCAAAGCTGAGTGATCGAACAGCTAAACAGTCTTTCTGGGCAAAAGGAATACATTTCAACAGCCTTCAATTTGTCTTAGTAAACAAGAAAGGAAATGTTTTAGGGACACAGACAGCAGATATTTAAATGCCCTGAAAAACATCTACAACTATAAGACTGATTAGCACAAGTTCAGTTTGTTGGTTCACAGACAAATGTTACAAGCCCCTGAACTTTTCATCAGAATCCCGCTATTGAGCCAAATGGATGCAATCAAATTTGTTACGCACAGAAGAAAAGAAGTTTTGATAATCCCAAAAGGAAACTGTCAGCACTTTCTAATGCTCCGACTTTCAATTCACAGGTCCAATTTTTAGTGAGTCCACATCTTTACTGTGACTATGGTCGAAGCATTAGCTACGCTTCATTGTTGTTTATAAAACATCAGCAATCAAATCATTTCGTAACTGCATCTTCTGACAAAAATCTCCAAACACACAATTTACAGGCCACAGCTGTGCTATGATTTACACTAAATTTACATGTAAACGTGATCACTCATAGCTACACAACTAGTTTTCCTCTCACTCAGCACACGGGCAGCAAATCAGCTGCTCACTGAACAGAGCAGACATACACAGGTGTGCCTGCAGCAAATATAATTCACACTCAATTATTTAAAGTTGTGATCAAAAGTTGACACTCATCGTAGGCATGAATGCCACGGTAATGCTTTCAGTGATTTCTTTGAACTATTTTATGTTCCAGGGAAGAAATGACTGCAGCTTACATCATTAAAAAACAACAAGTGAGTGCACAACTTTGAATTTACACACAAAGTCAAATATATAAAAACCTTTTAATAGGTGGTGCAATAGGTAAGCACATTTTTTAATTAAAAAAAAAAAATCAATATGAAAATTGTATTAATTGTATTAGAAGGCCGTTAACTGTGAAATCTGGACTGCACTCTCAGCAGACACTGAATGGGCCATTTTGGTCATGTTTGAAAAACAGTGTTCTGTGTTCTTCACAGCACTGGTTTGCCCTCTTGTGGGCATAATGGGATATTTAAACAGATACATGTGTGTTTTGTGACAACACTATTTCATGGGGGCAGTGGGAGACCTTAGACCAGCAGCTGGTTTCATCGAGAGCAGCTTAGAGAAGGGGAAATCCAAAAGTCACAAAGCCCGTGATGGATGAAAAGTTGCCACAGTGGCAACGTCTTGAACTGACGTGTGATGAACAATGCAATCAAGTTCTCTGAGATTCCTCATTTTAAAAGATAAATATTAAAACTGCTTAACTGAACAGACACGACTCACCCTCTTGATGTCAGTGATGGCAGACACCGAGCTGGGGTACTTGAAGTAGTCGGCTAGCATGGCCACGAGGTGATCAGTGGTGCTTGCGATCCTCTGCAGCTCCACGTCGGGCTCCATGAGATAGGCCAGTGTCTCTGCACCCTCCACCCTTTCCTCGAGCAAATGCTCTTTACTGCACATTCGCACGAGACATGGCAGGGTCTGCACAAGCAGCAAAAAGTCACATTTAAAGGGGAAAAAACAAAAAAAGGAGTGCCACTGGTAGAGTATCACAAGAGAAATGATGAAGCGAGGCACAAGAACATGTGGGAAAAATCTGACCTTTAGTACTATGCAGCTATCGTCTGTCCTGATGGCACTCGCTCGACACATATAGGTTAGACTGGAACAGGAGAAGAGGTCACAAATAAACAAAAGGTACAGAGGATATAACTCAGTAATAAATAAATGTTATGCCACTCACCATTTGGCTGCTGTTAGCTGCATTTCAATGGGTTGATCCCTTTGCATCATTTTGACAAATACCTGAGTGAGTAGCTCACCATCCACCAGCACTGATGAGGAAAAAAAGCACATGAGAGGAGAAAAAGACGAGAGAAAGTAGAAGAAGAAAAGCTCCTCACCATTCACCAGTGTCATGGAGACCTGAGTGTTCTCATACGCCAGGACTGAGAAACACTTTAACGCCTGCATCCGGACCTGGAGAACAGAGGACGATGTATGGAGTGTTACAGAGTATTGTGTGTCAAAGGTCATATGGTCACACGGGGTAAAGATGCACACTCCCATTATACCTTATAAGAGGGTGAAATGAGCAAAGGGGCAATATTTTGGATGGCGCCGTGGTTGAAAAGGATCGTCTGGTGCTCTGGAGTCTGAACACAACAAATCTCAAATCAGCAATCGATCAGTCTGAACAGAGACACTGTGATGGACTCCAGTGTGTTTATGGGCAATAAAATACCAACAAATACCTTACAACAGTGGGAGAAGATCTGGGTGATGTACTCCTGGGTTCTCAGAGAGTTGCTCAGAAGAGACATTAAATGAGGAATCACAGTGGGGTCCTCAAAAAGAAAACAAACGAAAGAGAACATACACACAGAATCATTTCAATGAGAGAATGGGTGATCATGTTCAAGAATAGTCAACTTTTAAACCATCTCTGATGTGAAAATGTAAACAGGGTGGGTGAAAATAAACTCCTGACAATCTCAGTTCTAAGAGATAAGATAAAACTTTATTGATCCCACAACAGGGACATTTTTGCGTCACCTCAGCTCAAGTACAGATATCAGAAGGAAATACAAAAACACAAATAAGTACAATCAGTGAAAAAAAGTAAGAGAATGCACTATATACAATGGTAGCATACACAGTATGTGATTATGGATATGGTTGGAAATATGGAAGACAAACTATATAGCTTGACATAACTATTGTACCACTACTATTCCTATTTATAGACATGTGTACACACACACACACACAAAATATACATATGTATACATATACATACATATATACCGGCACATGTCCATACACATGGAAGGTCCATTATGCATGAAGTGGTGACCGTGGATGTTCAGTGTCCAGTGACTTATGACTTTGTGATTGAGGGGTTATAGAGTCTAACTGCTGTTGGGATGAATGATCTGCGAAAGCGCTCCTTCCTGCAGCGAGGGTGTTTCAGTCTCTGACTAAAGGAGCTGCTCAGCCCACTCACATACTCATGCAGTGGCTGATGTGGGTTGTTCATGATGGATGTCAGCTTTACTAACATCCTCCTCTCCATCCACTCCCCCTGCAGGCCACTGCATATAAAAGGGCAGATGCTACCACAGTGTCATAGAATGTCCTTAACAGAGTCCTGCAGACTCCGAAGGACCTCAGTCTCCTCAGCGGGTGGAGTCGACTCTGGCCCTTCTTATACAGGATGTCTGTATTTGTAGTCCAGTCCAGTTTATTGTTGAGGTGAACACCCAGGTACTTCTGTGGTGCTTTGTAAAAGATAAACCGTTCCATGTCAGCTGTGTCAGAGGAAACGCACTCGCAACCACTCAACAAGAGCGATGAGTCACCATACTCTGCACGGAACCTTGCAAATAGGGTAGCCACTGCTGCTAGCAATGCTAACAATAGAGTGACTGTTTAACACATGCTTTTTATTTTTTTATTTTTTTATTTATTTTTACTTTCAGTCAAATAGCGAGTAACATCTTTAACTAAAACTGTCCTCATGCTTTCTGTTGGAGATAAAAGAATGTGATGGTATTTTTTTTTAAAGACTGACCTGCTGATTATGAGTTTGACCAAGTAAGTATCCATGACAGCATGGATACTTTTGAACTTTTCTTTAATTCTCTCATAAAGATGAAATTTAAGAACCTCTCCTTTGCCCCTAACAATGAGTTTCGACACCTCACTAAAGTCACGGTATGACGACAATCAGAAGTGTTTCTTGGCTTTTCCAACAGTAGCCGCATAGTCAGAGACCACCACTAACTAACTCATCACTAACTTTTGATGCAAACCAGTCATTTTGTTCTGTAAGCAGGCTGAAATCACTCAGACCAGGAGAGCTTCAAGGACTACTCCCAGCAAGCTTTGAAGGGGTAAACAGGGTTTTGTTGTTTTTGGTTATAAAAATGACTTTTTCCTCAACAACTGCACGACTCGAATAAATCTCAAAATTAGGTGCACCAGGTTACCACGCAGAGCTTCATTTTACTAATACAATTGGAGTATATTTACATTTATCTGACATGGTTTGCATGCCTGTGTCTAGCTGACACCAGTGTTAGTATCCTGTGTCCATCCTCTTTGCGTAAACAAACTGCTGATGGTTAAAGTCTTTGATGGCTGCAAAGGCTTAAACAGAAAGACAGTTTATATGCTGGCTAGCCAGCTATTCAAACAAGGAAATGACAGATGGGTGCTCTGGTAGATTTCTGGTTACAGTGAGACAGACACAGTCGCTCCACATTACTGATTCCATTTTCTTTCAGAGAAGAATCAATATGCTGCATTTAAACTGCTTTAGGTGTTTACACAGCATACTGCTACCAAGCGGAACAATCACACTTGTCTGTGCCACCATGAGGTTTAATTAACACCTCTAAGCTGCACGTCCGCTGCAGCAGAGGCTAACAAGTGTGGCAAAGAATTTGATAAGACTCTGAATCAAATCAGATCATATTAATCACTGCATTTCTTCCAATAATACATTTTATTAGTGCCTCTGTTCTGTATTTATTTGCTACAACAAATACCTGAGACTGGTACTCTGCGCTTGTCATGACCAAACTTGTCTACACATGTGGTATAGAAGGCATTTAAGGCAACCTACAGTATAAAGCAGCTGCACAGGGGTGACTGGACTGATGAAGACAGTTCTGAGACATCGAAGGCAAGCTTCAATGAAGACCAGGTCCGGAGATAAGAGACCTGCAAGCACACAGAGTACGTGTAATCTCACGTCACCTACAGTATTTGCATACATCTGTGTGTGCGTGTGTGTTTGACCCAACCTTGAAGAAGGGCAGGGATGATGTGACAGTCCACCAGGGACTTGATGTTGTTCTCAGTGCCCATGGCGAGGCTTCCCAACACTACGGCGCACTCTGTCCTCAGCTCCATACTGGACGAGCTCTGCTGCAGCAGGTATAATAACCTGGAGCCAACAGAGGAGGGAAGCACAGTCAGGGTTTCTCTAGGTTTTTAATAAGACAGTTGAATAAAGTCTTATCACTTCTATCCAATGCAATTTATATACAGAGCACTGAAACACACAACAGTCACCTCAAGGCACTTTATACTGTAAGACAAAGAACCTACAATAATAGAGAGAAAATCCCAACAATAAGATGACCCCTCCATGAGCAAGCAGTTTGTGACTGCGGAAAGGAAAAACTCTCGTTTAACAGGAAGAAACCTCCAGCAGAACCATACATAGGAAGTGGAAAAAGACAAATAAAGTCCCAGCAGCCTATTTTTCTAGCCTTTGCCTAGAGAGGACGTCTTTTTCCCAACTCCAACCTGGGAGCCGGTTCAACATGAGAACAAACCCTGCATAACCTGTAAGACATAGCAGAATTTACTACCAGGTTATATTGCATAGCTTTAACAGCTGTGCTGTAGTTTCATATTATCATGAACTACAACTTTATACTACTGTCAACAAAACAGGCATCAGCCTGTAGAACCTGGGGGTAAAAATAAACTTGGCCCTAACAGACCTTTTTTAAGTATCCATCTACTCTGTATCTGTGACCAAATGGGTTCAGAGGATGGCTGGGGTAATGTACTGTGGTGAGTTTCATGCTCTGTTATGATATCAAAGAGGTTGGGGGTTGCAAAACAACTGGATTCAAAAGCACCATAAGTGCTTTTAATGTGGTCCAACTTATTTGGTTGGAGGAACAGACACAAGAGGGTAAGCGTGCCATGTTCCAACAGCTTCATGTAAGTGCATTAGAATGACTTTTTCAAAGACCTAAAGAAGGAAGTAGAGAGCAGGAGAGCGTGAGAGGTGCGGGGATTCATACCTCGGCACGGCTCCGAGGACAATCAGATTGGCCTTCTGCTTGTTGTTTCCTATGACAGCGTTCTTCATGTCACTGTGAAAGCATACAAATATATCCAAATGAGACATGTGAATGTATTTGAAACAACATAACAGAGGTGTGGACTCGAGTCACATGACTTGGACTCGAGTCAGACTCGAGTCATTAATTTTATGACTTTAGACTTGACTTGAAAAAATGTTCTAAGACTTGTGACTTGACTTGGACTTTTACACCAATGACTTGGGACTTGAATTGGACTTGAACCGGTTTACTTGAAAAGACTTGATATTTTACCCCAAATATAAAATTTAACATGCATATTATATAGAGATTGAAAATGTGACGTCATTCACGGGTAGAACCGCAAAGGATTCTGGGAACTCGTGGCAAGCGGTACTAGCGCACGCAGGCTTTCAATTGAAATCAGTCACACAGCGATAAAAAGAAACACAAAAATGTCAAGAAGCTGTTGTATTATTAACTGCAATAGCCGGTCGCATGACAGCCACGGGAAGCCGACGGGTAAAGAGATCGGTTGTTATCGGATTACATCGCTGAAGAGAAATTGTTCGAGCCATGTTTCCGAAGTAACAAAGACACGACTGGATTGCAGCCATTCAAAGATCAAATATAACGTCCCAGAACTCTCCAGCTCACAGGTTAGTCTGCTCCAAGCATTTCCACAAAGGTCAGTCTGCTGTTGTAGTTAATGCGTCATTTTTCTTAACATAATTGGTGATATAGGTTACAAGCAAGTTTGGCGCTGAACAGAAATTGTGGCGCTATGCTCCTTTATTTATTGTGCATAAATAGTGAATTGTCCTGACACAATATTGCGTTTCGCCTCTGTTATTATGGTACATTGACAAAAACATATACTTTTATTCACAGGATAAAACAGGTTTTTTGTATCACTAATTGTCCAGTACGATTACAGCATACAGTATTATTGTCATTGCTACATTTCTGTGATGCTACCAGAAATTATTTCCACTGCTAATTAATTACCATTGAGCTCAAAGGTCCTATTAATAAACGGTTAAGGAATGTGTATTTATGAAGACAATTTGTGAGACTGGTAAACTTATGATACGTACGATGGTCTTTCGTTCTACACGGTGCATTTCAAGGCCCTGTACCCATCCGTCGGTAAACTGTACCTGGGCTTGTTGCAGTGACCTGAAGTTACTAAACTTCATGAGTGTATGCACTCACTCCAAGAACCGTATAATTATAAATATGCATATAAATATGCTACGATGAGATAGCTGACTTCATCTAACTAGCAAATGTTGTCCAGGCTACGTTGGTGATGCAGTTTTTTTTAATGTGTATGATATTTTTGTCATGCGATTTTAAAGCTGGTCCTACAACCGCATCCAAGAACAACATGCAGCTTATCTCAGAACTGTCGGTGAAAATTATTCTTGGAGCTAGGTTTAATTGAGCTGCATTTTAAAGAGGTGCAATTTCACAATTTGTGTATATTTTCTAAGTTCACTATTTTGTCATGTGTTGAGAAAAACACAGATTTTAAAATTACATGGTCTAATATTTACATTTAGCATAACTGCAACATTTTTTTTTCGTTTTTTTTTTTAAAGACTCGAAAGGACTTGAAATTCAAAGTTTCAGACTTGTGACTTGACTCGGACTTTTACACCAGTGACTTGAGACTCGACTCTGACTTGCCTGACATTACTTGAGACTTGACTTGAGACTTGAGGATAAAGACTTGAGACTTACTTGAGACTTGCAAAACAATGACTTGGTCCCACCTCTGCAACATAATATAACCTTAAGAGTGAATATGAACACCTTGATTTATAGCATGTTATCATTTAATTGATAAGTTATAAGCACATCAGGCCGACACAGGTCAGGCAGGCTGACAGTTTTAAAAACAACAATAGAAATCATTGATATCAAGCTCATGTTCTACATATTCTCATGTAATCATTAGAAATGAACAGGCTTCATCTAAGTGCATTTTTCCCCCCATGAGCTTCTTCTGCTCTGTTAGTACCTTCAGATGATATGTGATATCAAACTGCAGCAAGGTGAGTGGAAAAGCACACTGATCTAGGAGGCAGTTAAGGCGGTCAGGCGCTCGGCTAATGAAACGATACAAGTCGTAACCAGAGCTAGTCTCCCCGCAAGTTAAAAATAACTAAATAGTCCGAGTCCAAATCACAGCAGTCCAGACCAAGAGTGAGAGTGAGACACGAAGTCACAAACAGCTAAGCCTGTGCATGTAAGCACACACTCCTGCTGCAACACTGTCATCACTAATGTTTAGAATTTGGGACATTAAAAACAAGCACGTGTTGGTAAATGATAAACAGCCTGTGGAATTAAACTCTTAGCAACAACAACAGCTGAATTTAACGTAACAGGGTGGACTGTTTGTTTTTGTTTTTTTTTAACCATCAATTTCATTCATTTTCAACAAAAAGAAAGAAAGAAAAATCAGGAAAGCCCAAAGACGTGCTATTGCAGTGGCTGAATAAAGTCTGCAAATTGGAGGCAAGCAGAATTTGACAGCTGTCATTTACTGAAAAAAAAATTTTTCAAACACTTTTTTTCCTGCACTTTGTAAAACAAAATTTAAAACAAAAATCAAAAACAAACAAAACAGCACACGCAGAGATTTTTCTGCAATGTCTCCACCCACCAAACAGGTTTTGGCCTTCCACCAAGAGAATTAATGAAAACTGTGAAAAAAAAAATATATGTAAGACTTCAATTTAATTTACAAGTTTGAAGCATAATGCATTTTATGCATCAAACAAAAACAAAAAACTCTATAAGATGCACAGACTTCTTGCCTTGCCTACATAATGCGCGACAGTATTTTTGTGTGTATTCACATAAGTACTATTCTGACACAGGAAACACCCTGATATACATGTGTATATATCATACGCGATCAGACCCACACTTACATGACTCCCTGAAGCACTTTCTGTGGGTCGGGGTCAAACAGTCTGTCAACATAATGGCGACTAGTGGCGGTGACTTCCTGCATTAGAACAAAAAACAAAACAAAAACACAAACATGACTTTTAGAAATCACTGACTTGACCCTGGATTTACCTTGTACAGTATTTTTTCTCTACACTATCAAATGCTGTCCTCCACATCTGACAACTGACAAAGTGCACATATTTCAGCAGAGTAAAAGCCTACGGAATTTGGTTTCTAACTGAACAATTATTAACCATTAAATAAACAATAATTAATTATACATAAAAAGGGCAGTTTTAAATTGTTTTTTTTTTTTTACAACTAAAATAACACCTTTTGTGTTACACAGGAAAAATACAGCAGCCTCCACGGCAGGAGCCTTTAAAAGCTTTTTGACACTGCGACACCAGAAAACTTTGTTTATGTCACTGGCAGCTTTGACCAGAACTTTCCGCAGAAGTCAACGTCCTCCAGCTGCCAACGGAGTCACACTTTGATGCCAGCACGTAGCTCACAAGGTGTCCCAACACGTTCTGTACCTGTGTACCTCTCATTCAGACAGCCACTGTGGCAAACATTCATTTCACAAGTATACAGCATTATGTATGTATACACAATAACGGATCAACTCGTGTTTTTAAAAAAAAAAAAAAAAAAGAGTGAAGCTGAGATGCTAAAGTATCAGTTACCATGATATCTTCAATCACACTGCCTCCTTTCTGCATACACCTACCATGGGGGGCGTTTCACGGGGGCTCCTTATGCGCTTTTTCGTGGAACATTTTGCGTTATATTAGCCAAGTTACAGTTGGCAGTGAGTGTCACTTGCTAGAGTAAATCCCGGAGTCTTACCAATTACTACAGCTCTGACTGCCGACACACTACATATAAAAAAAAACCTCAAGAGTAAGGAAACCAGTGAGTTAGCGAAGTTTGCTTCGCTAGCTTAACCGTATGCTACAGTTGCTAATGTTACTTGCAGGAGCACCTAACGTTAGCTAGGTTTACAATGTTAAGTTTGCTATTGCAATTAAGACGGCGCATAACTTAAAATCAAATAATACTGAGTGGTTTGAATAAAAATCTCATTCCTACAACTTTTTATCCAACGTGCATGATGCATTCTATAAACGTGTTTTGACTACTGCAAAACTGGTGACAGCACTGGTACTCTTAGCAATTAGCTGCTAACTCATTCCGAGTAACACTGACAGCTAGTTTGTTCGCTCAATTTTGTTTTAGGTTACAACGACGGGGCGAGCGGGCACAGCTCGCATGTATTCTCTTTATTGTGTTCGGAAGGTTCCCGCCCGCCCGGGCAAAGCAAGGAAGAAAATCATTCTCTACAACAGCAACGTAGGCGGACCGCTACATGTTGCAATGCCTTTAACTTAGCTTTATGGCTAACAGAAAAACCTTTATACTTGAGAGCTTCTAGATGACCAAACAAAATCAGCTACTCGCAGTTGCCGTTTGCATTCTATAACCTGACAATGCTAGTTGAAATTATAAAGACTGGCACTCACAGACAGCACACTGATGCGGAGTGGGGCCTCCAATAAGCACGCCATCTCTCTTCCTCCGATGGAGCGCCCCAATCGGCGCAGCAGTCTGGAGACACTCCACCCCCCAGAGCAGCTTTGAGGGGCCTTTAAAAAGTAACTGTAGCCTAATCAGACAACTCTTTGCTAGCGTTATTTCTAAAACAGGCCCCTATATTCTTCCGTAGGCTCAGCTGTGATGTCCCGTAGCAGATATGCAACAAAAACCAACACCGCTAACTTAGCGAGCTCTCTGACAGACCGTGGACTTGTCAATAAAGTAAATATTGTTTATAAACGTGACGTGGTTGCTGTCTGCTTGAATTTGATTCGACACAATAGGTTGAGTCGTGCGAACTATGCATCAGATTAAGGTATAAATATAAAAACGCAAATTTTTAAAATACAATATATTTTTAAATCAAGACTTAGCAACAAGTATAGTAATATAATTCTACACATTTATAATGGAATCTACTGCTAGTCACTAGAATTTGATGAAGAATTGCGCATGCGCTCATATTGGTAGAGGCGAGGTGGGAACATCCATTCTGTTCGTTTCTTCCACAAACATAAGCATGTTTTTTTGCACAAGTTTGCAACTTTATGGACTATAAACCGGCTCAAAATACTCGCTAATTATACCCCCAAATCTGTAAGTACTCAATTCGTTCACTTTGCTCTTATATAACAAATTTCCTCCATATACGCTGTCGAGTTGTTTCGCTTAATTACGTAGCCTAGCTAGCTGTTGCGTGTTGTATCGTAGGACCTGAGCTTCTAGTAGCTACCCTGCTTGAGTGTGAGGATACGAAGTAGAGAATACTTTAAAGCAGCATGGGACACATTTGTCAGATTAAAAAAAATTAAAAGCATCGTGCAATACTTACTGCACGTATTCAAGGGCTACCCGCCGGTGCAGCGTGCATTGTAGCGTGCATTGTAGTATTTAATGTCTTAAAAAAGGTGCTAGGGTCATCTTCAGTTCGCATACCTTTCGTTTAATTTATTGTTTCTAGCTAAATGAAACATGACAGTCCAACAGGAGCTCTGCTCATACGCTAAAATTAAACGGGTGTCTACCCGATTGCTCCTGGATAGCTTTAGTCACATGGTAATTCATTAGCACTGTTTAAGATCATCCAAGACCGTATTGTAGCTTATTAAAGTCCCTTTCCACTGTGTGATTAAAAGGCAACTAAAACTATGATCCAAGAAGATGTGAAAAAAAAATAATTTACCCAACTGAAATGTATATTAGCGAAATTGTGTGTTAAGTGAAAGTAATCATCATCACCATTGTATGTCTTTACAGATTGCCAAATCATCTTTTAGGAGGCCGTGGACCTCGGCTTGACTGTGTCCACAGAGGCTAATGGTGTTTAGATGAGAACAGAAGCCATCCTTTAGTGTGAATGTGAATTTCTCTGCACGTTGTCAGATCACCTGTTTGCACAGGATGAAAATTGCAGTAGAAGGCTGTTGCCATGGGGAGCTGGACAAGATTTATGAGACAATTGAGTATCTGGAGCAGAAGGAAGGAGTGAAGGTGGACCTGCTGCTTTGCTGTGGAGACTTCCAGGCAGTGCGAAATGAGGGAGACTTGAAGTGCATGGCAGTGCCAGCCAAGTACAGAACCATGCAGACCTTTTACAAGTAAGTTCTTTGTTTATGTTGTGTTTTTGTTTGGTTTTTAAATCAAAGACACGAGTAAGGATATTTAAAACTTTATTATTGTCTGTGTTGCAGGTATTATTCTGGGGAGAAGAAGGCTCCGGTGTTTACCATTTTCATTGGAGGAAACCACGAGGCTTCCAATCACCTGCAAGAGCTCCCTTATGGAGGCTGGGTGGCACCAAACATTTATTATCTAGGTAGAGACTGACTGATTCCAAATTTGTTTGCCAGCTTGTCTGACTCGCCACAAGCCTGACCTATATAATCACCTGTCTCCAGGTTATGCTGGTGTTATTCGCTACAAAGGGATCAGAATTGGTGGCTTATCTGGTATTTTCAAATCACGTGACTACAGGAAGGGTATTTGTTTTTGTTTGTTTAGCTTTTCAAATAGTTGAGGCTCCACTGCTATGCATCATATTTACATGGAATGTTTTCATTTTAAGGCCACCATGAATTCCCTCCATATAATCCTGAAACACTTCGAAGTGCATACCACATCAGAAATATCGAGGTTTTCAAATTAAAACAGGTAAATCTCGCAAGTTCTTCCACACAACTCTAAATGTTTGTCCACTTCTTTAGCTAAATATACAATGTTAATTTTACATGATTATTTCTGCTAAGATCCAGATGCCCATAGACATTTTCATGAGCCACGACTGGCCTCGTGGAATCTACTACTATGGCAGCACAAAGGAGCTGTTACGAAAGAAGAAATTCCTTCGTCAAGAGGTGGAGTCAAACTCTCTGGGAAGTCCTGCTGCAGAGGAGCTCCTAGCTCACCTCCAGCCTAACTATTGGTTCTCTGCACATCTTCATGTGAAATTTGCTGCCATTATGCAGCATCTGGTGAGAGTGACAGTTGTTCAGTTAGAATTACTGCTGCTAATAAGGTTAAAATCCTTCTAACCATCATTTCGGTGATTTCTTCTTTTCAGCCTAAAGGTAAAAGTGCACCACGCGTAACCAAATTCCTGTCTCTGGATAAATGTTTGCCCCACAGGGAATTCTTACAGGTGGGACAACTCTTTTTTTTTTTTTTTTTTTTTTTTTTTTTTAATTGATATATTAGGATCAGAGTCTGGGTTAAAGTGTGTGAGCTAACACCTTTTGTTTTTTCAGATTGTGGATATTCCAGAAAGACCAGGTTCATCTGAGGGTCTTGAGTATGATCCAGAGTGGCTTGCTATTCTCAAGGCTACCAACACCCTACAGAGGACCACTCCTCACCCCTGGAATCCCCCAGAGAATAATGGCTTGCATGAACGGTACACACGTATAGACATACAAGTAACAAGGCCTGTAAAAGCAGAGTTAGGTTGTGCATGCATGATTTCAGTCTCCCAGAACTAAAACATTAGCTTGAACAAATAGCCAGTGTCATGCAACAGGGGAAAGGTCACTCTGGAAGAGAGGATCTTGCACTTAAAACAAGCTTTGCATTGTAACTTCCCTGAGCTCTAGGTGTAAAAGGAAACTCGAGCTCAGGGAAGGCCTTTTTGTGTAGGATGTTATCACCACCTGTGTTGCCTTGGTGAAATAAGCAACAAAAATAAGCTCTATGGGGAAAAACAAGTTTGATATTTGCATGTTTTGTTTGGCAGCATGTTCTCCACAAATTAATGCCACTTTTTTTTTTGAAGCGCAAGAAAAATGCTAATAACCAATAGGAGCACTAGAGCTAGTCACTGGAATTTTTTTTTAAACTACTCAGCTGTCTACAATGTCAAGACAGACCAAGAATGAAGTTGCTGGTGTAGCTAGTTAGACCTGTGCAAGTTAGAGAGGAAGTATGAAACTCACTGCTTCAGCTGTGGGTTTTCATTCTTTTCCTTCTTCCCAAAGCCAGCAAGCAGAACTGAGTGGGGAGCAATTTGAAGTGTGTCACACTGCTTATTCATAAAAATACATTTTACATAATGAAAATAAAGCAGAAGGAAAGATTTCTCAGGACACCAATATTTGCTTAAATCAGCTCAACGCACGTTTTCAGTGAAGCCAAAACAATACTTTACATAGTGTATTTGCATCCATACTGGGAGACGGTATAGTGGAGCCTAATAATGAGCTGCCAAGTTATTGCTTCAGATGCTTGAAGCAAAGGTCATTATGACTGAGCGGTTTTTGTTCATACTTTTTTTTATAATGTTGGATTGCATACACCCATCAGGTGGGACTTCAGCGCTTCAGAAGCCGCTATGATGCAGGTGGTGGAGGATCTGAGCGGGGAGCTTGGCATTCCAGACAACTTCAGTCCAACGGTGCCATCCTACAACCCCAACAAGCCCCATCGTCAGGCTACCCCGAGCTACAACACCAACCCTCAGACGACCGAGCTTTGCGCCAAGTTGGGTCTCACAGACATCTATGCACAGGTCGGGCGGGGAGAAGATGAGGTGGCGAGAGTTCAGGGCAGTACAGGAGGAGAGGATGATGAAGATGAAGATAGTTTGGGAAGTACTGACGAGCCCAGCGAGTATCCAACCGATACTTCAGGATTGTCAGGTTCATTTAATCCAGATGAGATCACCATAGAAGACGAGTGGGAGGAGGAGGAGGAGCTGAAAGCAGAGGTGAAAGCAGACGAGCTTTTTGATGCGAAAGCAGGTGAAATCCACACACCCAGCCGTATGGTTCTACCCGAGCCCAAATGCAGCGTCTCGCCCCCTCCTCTGCCCGACCTCATGAACCTGCCACCTCCTTCCCACTCTACCCCAGCTCACGCTCAGTTTGGAGCAGACGGGGCAGGACAGGGCAGCGGCGACGATGAGGACGTCACAGCTGCGCGCATCCTAAAACGAACCAGCATTGAGAGTGGGGACGCTGGCAGCAGAGGCCCAACTCCAAGAATCAAACGCAGAAACCAGGTGATCTATACAGCAGCGGAGGATGACGAGTGTGAGGGATAGTCAGGGAGGCAGTGTAAACTTCTCCGTTAGTTTATATTCATTAATTTATGTACCTGCAGCTACTCACACGAGCTGTTCAAAGCAGAGGCATGGCTTTATTAAAATGCCCGTAAAGGTGGACTGTACACGAGCAAAGAATTTGTTTCTGGATTCAGTTTCCACAGAAATTATACCCATCAAAATGTTTCGTTGTTTAAACATGATTTTTATGTATTTTAATCCAGATTTTTTAGAACACTTTTTCTTTTTCTGACATTGTAATTTCAAGATGATTAAAGAGGCCAGAAAGATGAGAACAGCTTTTTTTTTTTTTTTTTTTTTTTTTAAAACAGAAATAATGACTTCACAGCTTTATTGAACACTTACATACCGTAGGTGCTGATGGAAAAAGCAAGTCTTTGTTTTAATTACTTGTTATCTTACTCATACAGACCACTGAACCTACGTTAAAACACTGAACAATGACAGTGGATGTGTTTCTTGTATATAGTGAGCTGTTAGTGTTGAGAGGAACGGCACTTTTTTTTTTTTTTTTTTAAGCCTTCCATTTGTATACTATTTGAAAATTGTCTTAATGAGAATTCAGTTTTTCTCATCAAAATGCTTGGATATGAAAATAAAGCCGAAGAAAAGATTTCTCTGGACACAGATGTGTGTTTAAATCCCACTGATTTATAACATTGATCAGAGTCCTTTAAACGATCCATTCCAGGTTCACAAGTGTGCTCTGCTGAAGTCAACAAACATTCTCAGTGAAATTAAGACAATATTTAACATACAGTGTATTCGACAGGATCTCTACATCCATACAAAGAGCCAGTACGGTATAGCCTAATGACGGGGTGCCAGGTTTTTGGTTTATGGTGCAAACCAACGTCAGGGAGTAGTCTTGCGCCTTGTCTGCAAAGCACACACTCAAAGAAAGCCCCAAACATGATTGACAGAAAGAAAACAGGGAGTAGGCACTTCTGTTTTTTTTGTGTGTATTTTTTATCTATTCTTTCCTCATTTTCTTCAGCCAAGCCTTTGACAGCCACTGAGCACACAGCTCATTCTAGTAAGGTAAAGGAAACAGTTATGCCATTTAAGCTGAACACAACATGTGCAGATATACTCCAGACCAAGGAGGTTTATTACAAGCCTCATAGTCTAAACCAAACAGGGAGGACAATGGAATTTAATCAATTCCTTGACATTTGGGAATACCATTTCCAGATGGAAAGCTATAGATGCCAATCAGAATAACGATTTAGTAACCCTGTCCATGTCATAGTTATACACTTCACATCCAGTGTATATTACTGCTGTAAAGAGCTACAGCAAGCTTATTCACACTAACTGCATGTACCTCAATCTTTCAATAAATAATTCTCAGACTTGCTGAGCTTTAGTTTCACTAATTCAGAACTTGTCAGAAGTTGAAATGTTTACTTCACGTCTTAACTTTTTGGGTTACCATTTAGACTAAATAAGGGAGGAATCAGAGATGCTGAAGCTTATCAGTCTGCAGCCAAGAGAAGTAGGAACATGGAACATTAAATAGGTACGAATTGACTTGTCAGACAAACTGAGCCACAGGAGGGTCGGGCAGGACAGAGAAGGGTTCAAACTCATTCCCGGGGTTCAATTCGGTATTTATTCACAGAAGGATCTTATTAGAGGGGAAAAGCAAGCAGCTGCAAGCTGGGGGGGGGGTGACTGCCATCTCAGCCGTTTGGCTCTTTTAATGCCTCGGCCCTTTTTTTCTCCTTTCGGGACACTCGGCAACATGTGCTGCTCAGTTTGTGCCAATCGGGGCCGTGACTGAAAATGATGCAAGGCAGAGTGAACACGAAAGAAATTTCACAATTAGTGCTAAATACTAGAACAGGCTTGCCACCATCTTCTACATTCCTCTTAATCTCAGTCTTCTCTATACCGTGTCTTTCCAAATGTGGAATCAGAGTTGTTGGTCAACAGACACGTGTGAAACGCTGTCTCTGTCCTCCATCTCTGCTTGCTTTTTTGGTTCTTCCTCTCCTCTTATTCTCTCTGCTTGAACAGGAAGATGAATGCAGAGTAAAGGCTCACCCCCTGTAAGTTGATTGAAAGAGACGAGATGGTTGTAGGGCTGTGGTGGTGTGGATGGTAGAATACAGGTGGTAGGGAGTTGTGGAAGTCTAGTTCCCTCCACAGCAGGCTCGGGTGGAATGAGCATCTGGGTCCTGCAGGTTGACTCCCCGATGTCGGGCTGCATGCGTTGGGTTTTGGGTGTCTGTTTTTGGCATCTTTTTTGCTAGATTAAAGAGAAGAGGTTTATTTAGACTGTGACAAGCATATAATTCACGAGGCAGGACTCCTGACATCTATTAGTCTCTTCTGTGAAAGAAATTATTCTTATATAAAACACAACACTCACCAATGGCCAGGAACAGCTCATTGACGTTCATGGCTGTCTTTGCAGAGGTTTCCATAAAAAGCAAACCAGTGTCTTCGGCATATGTCTGGGCTTCCTTTACCATTCAGCATATGAAAAGATCAAATTATTACACAGTATTTAAAAAACTACTAGCACAAATGCTAAAACCTGCAGATGAAAGGAACTAAACTGTTTTCCATTCACAAATCATGACTGTAATTCAGCATCACATATAAAAAAAAAGTCACATCCGACCGATTCGGACATAAGTGGTATCGTGCCATCTCTAATTTTAAGTAGCCTTAAGGAGGCATAATGGACTAATACAGTCTGAATGCTGCTTGCTAACCAAGCTTACTAGCATTAACATATAATTTTGTCCTTGGTTCTGCTCCACATATAATGATTTTGAAAACAAACCAAACACAGCATAGTGTAGTGTAAGCCAGAATGTAAGGTCTGAAGCTTTGTAATACGGATTCCCAAACCAGTGGATGGCGAGTACCCTTTTATATACAGTTTACCATTCTAAACTAAAATTGGATGGCTCCTCTTATTGAGCTCAGTTCTTGGTGTCATGGAGACCACCTTCCTCTGATATTCTGCTCCATGCTGACATCACTGTTACAAAGCCACTTTCAGCTACTCTCCTGTCACAAGAGGTTGCCACAGTGTGTAGCTCCAACAGAAGCTTCTATATGTACACGCATATACAGTACATCCCAAAGGTGTTCTAGTGGATTCAGACAATAGAAGTGTGGCTGTACCGGGATCCAAAAGGTCAGTGACAGCACTTACACATTCAAACCATAGCTAACTAGTATTGTGGGCCAAAGTCAGACCAGAAAGCATTCCCCACAGTATTAAAATCCAACCATAGTAGCCTACACTGCTGCAACAAGCATGGTTGGGGTTTTTTATTCATGCTGTGAGATAATTAAAGCAAAAGATTCACTGGGGACTATTTTGTTAGTTATGAATTGCAAGTGTGTTCCCTTTGCAGCCACATATTTCTGCTTTAGGCTAGCAGTTACAGCTAACGGCTTCAAGGCTGAAGATGTGAATCTTAATAGTCTGTCAGCTCCAACAACTGTGGCCTCTGACCTCTTTCATTAACAAGGTGCTTCTATCCATAGGACTGCTTCTGTCTTCAGGAAGTAAATTGGTTATGATTTAATTTGGACCAACAGGGGTGCGTTACCTCATACTCCACCAGTCTCTTCTCGGCCAGGTCAGCCTTGTTTCCAGCCAGGGCAATAACAATGTTAGGACTGGCCTGCCTCTGCAGCTCCTTCACCCAGGCCTTGGCTCTCTCAAACGTCTCCTGCACAAACACAGAACCAAGGTCAGATAAACTACCATGGAGATACCAAGCAAATATGATGAGATTAACTTTTCACCTTTGAGCTGATGCAAATAATGGAGCTGGGCAGTATAATGTAATAACTTCTTTCAAAAGTGCGACATTCAAATGAAACGTCAGTAAGTTCAAAGCCTCTGTGTTGGAAGCATGACTGAGGTACTGACAGAATGAAAGTTACTTGTTAAAATGTAAAAGTCTGAAGACACAGTATGTGTTAAAAAATAATTATAAAAAAAAATCAATGTCTTGATTATAATATGGGTAAGTACAGAATCAGTTAATTTCAATAAAAGAACTAGGTGAACCCAAAGTCACAGCTAACATTGGAGATGTGTGACATCAAAAATGTTTTCCATTTATGCTTTGATAGATTTCAGAATTGCTATTTACTAGAGGTGGGAATCACCATACATCCTACGATACGATATTATCACAATACTTAACGCACGATACGATATTATTGCAATTTTTTAAAATATTTTGCGATATTCAGATTCTGTACATAAAGGTAAACTTTATCAATATTCATTTTATCTAATATCAAAGTCTCGCACTCAGTCTTTCTCTCATTTCAGTCAGTTTTATTGTTGACAAACTGAACGGTTAAAACACGGTTAAAGTTAAACACATTTGGACAGTGAAGGAATGTCAGGATTCTTGCTCAGAAAAAGGATCAACATGCTCTGAAGTCAGAGCACAAAAACTTTTTTTGTAACAAAATATCGATTTCTGCTGTCCCTGTATCGATACATTATTAGCAAACAAAATATCACGATACTACACAGTATCGATTTTTTTCCCCCACCCCTACTATTTACACAAATATGCATGACTGTAGATAACAACCATTAAAAGTTTGCAAAACCTGATTCAAAGCAGCGTGTTTGGGCTGCACTTATGAAAACACATTTGAAATAAAAGACAGCTGATATTCCTACTTGGGAAGTGGAATTTCTACAGCACTTTCCTTCTCCTGCTCAGAGTGCCCAGGATTTTCTTTACTTGTATTTGCATAGTCTAACACAGACAGTCAGGCTAAGTAATCCCACAAAGGTGGTCATCGACCTGATTAGTCCATCCAAGAAGGAGGTGTGTGTCGCTTACAGCACAAACCAGTTGCAACATGGACAGGTCCCGGGAGATGTTTTACAAATAAAAGAGCAAATTTTAACGTCTCTCTATATTCTCTTTTTCTGCCTTCCCTTTCCCCATCACCACCAGAACCAGTTAGGAAACTATGGGCATCTGCCTAAAGCATGGTTCTGTACGAGATCTGTTCCTGTTTAAACTGAGTTTTTCCTCCCTGCTGTCACCAAGTACTTGCTCAATGGATATTATCATCCTTGTGCACTGTTATTGTGAATGAGTGTTGTATACATAAAATCTAATTTAATAAACATAAAAAATATGAAGTGGTCGAACATATAATACATGTTGAATGTAATATATTTGTTGTGACACATGATTTGAGTGGTCATAAAAATAAAAACTCCATTAAGGAAAGCTGGTAAAACATTTCGACTGTCACTTCATAGACCTTACAGTATCAGTGGCCATCATGACAACACAAGAAGATCAGACTCAAACTGTGAGTACACAGACACGGGAAGAAGCTGCTAACGCCACACAGAAAGGCCCAGCCAGACGGTGGATTTACACTGTCACACAGGACAAATATAAAAACATGTTGTAAACCATTAAGTAGATCAAAACGCAAATTTGTGTTTCAACATCAGCCAGTACACGAACTGGATGCAAGGTTCAAAGTTTCTATCATTCACGTTGCGCTCAAGAATCTTTATTCCTTGTTGAAGCTTCACACTGGGCTTAGGGGCTCTTCCAGGAATGGTGACACTATTTCCCAGAGACATTCATCAGTAGGTGGTGGTTTTGCATTTGCCAAATGTCTTATCTTGAATATACAGATGTGAAGCACAAGCTACCATGGCGATTTAACTCAGTACCACCTTCATAATTCAAAACCCAGGGGTTCAATTCAATTCAATTTTATTTATACAGCGCCAAATCACAACAACAGTCGCCTCGAGGCGTTTTATATTGTACAGTAGATCCTACAATAATAGATACAGAGAAAAATCCAACGATCATAGAGAATATAACTTCAGGTGAACCCTGAAGTTCACCTGAAGTTATCCTCCAACTCTAGCTCTGGGATCATGGGAGCTGGAGATTGAACCACCATCCTTCCAGTTATCAGATGGCCTACTCTACCTTCATAGTCAAACCTAACTTCCTGAATTTCAATGATACCAAATATATCCATGTCTAATGATGTAGAGAATGTGGGACGACAAAAAAAAAAAGAGGAAAGGAAAGAACTCGAGGAGTTTCCAGGTTAATACTGATATTAGGCTGTCGGAGACATTTACGCTTTTCTACAACTGTCTTTCAGTGAGAATCTTTACATGATTGATTTAGGTAAATGAATTGTGAATGTTGAAAAATACCTATCGGCAGCAGTCCGACATTTTAGAACAAATATCAGTGCAGCCAAGACCAACTGAAATTAGGAAATATTTCTACGTACCGGCTTGGTGATGTCAAAGACAACAATAGCAGCCTGAGCGCCACGATAGTACATGGGAGCCAGGCTGTGGTATCGCTCCTGTCCTGCAGTGTCCCAGATCTCAAACTTCACTGTGGTATCATCAAGACACACCGACTGTGCCAGGAATGCAGCTGGACATAAAAAAGAAGCATGAGAGATCATTATGGGGTTCTTAAATCCACCCCCCCCCAATCAATCACCTGATTAGGAGTTCTCCCAGTTCTTACCTCCTATAGTGGTCTCTTGGAACTCATCAAACTGCCCTTTGACAAAACGCAGCACCAAACTGGACTTGCCCACAGCCATGTCCCCCAGCAGCACCAACTTGAACTGGCAAATCTTGGTCTGCGTTAGTGTGCCGTTGGAGCGGCCTCCGCTCCCTCTGGAGCTCATACTGACCAGAGACAGCAGGGGGGCTGGGCCTCCTCCCTCAGTGGAGACAGGTGCTTTTGGTCACTTGTGCTGCTTCCCAAAACAGACCGAGAGTCACGTCTCACTGACGACGTCTTGACCTCTGTTCTAGTCGTGTTTGGTCTGTGTGAAAAAGCCAGAAGACTTTTATTTCGGTTCAAGATTACACACTGTCTGCCCTATATACACACACATATCCTTCTTCCTCAAGGTAACAAATCTTCTCCCGGCGGATCCATACTTTCTAAAGATTAGAAGTTTTCTATGCGATCAAGCACAAGTTTTAATTGCGACTGTAATGTCTCACGTGTACTACCTCTCAATGTGATCACGCCTTACCTCATGAAACGGAAATCCAAGCCGATCCAGAAATAAGTTCTAAAGATTTAAGCCTCATAGGAGGGATGGAGGTCTCGCATACAATCCAGCACCTGTTTAAATCCTAACTGCATTGCACAATATGTACCAACCTTCACATGCTGCTCCGTTCACTGAATAAGAGATGTGTGGGGAGAATAGCGGCCCATTTGATCTGGAGTTTACTGGGGATGCTGCGCTTCTAATTGCTCTCTCCCACCTCAGACACTCGACGCTAACAACCCCCCTCCCCCCGACACTGCAGCACTTTCTCCATTTGAAACATTAACCTCAGCACCCCGCTGACACGCGTCAGGACAAGAGAGCAGACGGATGACATCCTGGCGTACTCGTGTTGAGGCAACTCCCACAATGACTGTTATCAGATCAGCAACCCTTATCTCGGGTTATGTGCTAGCGGGACAGCGATCCGAGCATTCGGTTCGGACGACACAAAACTGAAACAAAGCCTCGCATTTCGACGCCCAAAGAAACACAGCCGTTCCAGCCGAGCGTATAAGTAACACAGAGGTACTGAGAGGAAAACATAAGTCTATTTACCGTGTATAGTGTCGTTTCAGCCGTGCGGGTAGCGCTGACTTAACTGTTGACAATTTGGCTATCAGCTGGTGAAAGAAAAAAATGTTAACGCTTCCTGGAAATTGGCGCATGCGCACTGAGTGCCGCATTGTCAATTCTGGGAAGAAAAGAAGAGCCGCATATCCTTTGATTTTTTTTCACTCGTCTTTATATGGCACTTTTTAAAAATACAAATTTAGATCAATTATAAGAGTCACAGAACACAAGTTCGACGAACAAAATACCGCGCACAGTAAGAATGACAAATTCATAGAAATGATTCATTCTCAGAAAACACATCACCCCCTCTGGAAACGTTCTTTCTCGTCTGCTTATATTTTTTCCGATCTTTAAAATGTATTCTAGGAAACGTAGACGGGGTTATTGTAGTGAATTCTTTGGGTAATATATTGGCAACCTTCTAGAAGCTCCTCTGAAGGTTATTATTTTTGATAACCTCTAGGGAGCGTTACCTAAAGTTAATATTTAAATTTAAATATATATATACATAGTTTAAAAAAAAAACCTGGTAAATGGTTTCACAAACAATAGAATTCCGCAATGTCCATTTAAAAAAAGAGACTAAACTTTTTATCATTGTACGAATGCACAAAGCATTGTATAATTTAATTATTGCCTTTATTTTCGACAAAGATTTAAATCCTTTTTTGAAAATAGAAAAATATGGCAGTCATTGATAATATTAACCCGAGGCTTTTAGCTTTTAGTCAAATTTTAATGTTTTAATGGCGACAAAAGTTGCTCAATAACTAGCAGATAATCATAATAATCGAGGCACAGACACCAACACATTTCCTGTTGGTGTCTGAATGGAGTTTCAGTGATTAGCCGCGTGGTTTTCTGTTGCAGCCTCCGGGCTGCAGGGGGCGCCGGAGAAATCCTGGGAAATATCTCGGAAGTCAATACCACGTGAAGGATGTTTGACTTGTTTTCACCGGTTCACTGCTGTGCAGGCACAGAAATGTGTCGGTCTGTTTTTATTTAAGACATTGTGGGAAACGTGGAGGTGTTTCATTGTGACGTTATGCGATAACTTGCCGTCACTATGCCAGCAACAAACAGAAAAGCGCAGAAGAAGGGGAGGGACACCGCCGTAAGTGTTGTTTCACTATTCACAGTACTTAACAGTATTATGTGTAAACACACCACTGTTTACTTTAGCTCTACTATATTATGAAGTACACGATGTCAATTATATTGCTGCTGATGGTTGAACCACAATATTGCGGTTGTATTCAAAAAATATTAGATGTGTAAGAAGATATTAAAAATGAGCTCAGTCTCTGTCTATTACAGCACTACATGCCAGATGGTTACTAGTACATATGTAATAGAATAAGATGTATCACAGTACAACTCTGTGTGTTTCTTGAACCCTAGACTAGCTTTGCATGATTCACAGTTAAAAATAAGTCATATTTACCTAAAACTTTAGGGACTTCTCATGCATGCGCTAACCTCATTATTTGAATCTGTGGCCATGTTTAATTTGAGAATCCACCCCTGTAACAGTAGTCTCATTGCACATGTGCATACTTTAAAATGATGATATGAGTATATGCAACATTTGTATGTATATGTGACATCCTTCAATGGAAGGATAAGAAAGAAGATCATTAAAGGTCTTAAAAAGTCTTGCACTGTGTTTTGGGAGATTTATTTCTGCTGGTTCTTTGTTGTTCCTTAAAACAGGTGCAGGGAACCAATGACAGCAGTGTGGTGAGCAAAGTGTCTGCTGCAGCACAGGGCTACTTCAACGACGCCTTCCTTCAACACTTTGTGTGCAAAGTGGCCAGGAGAGCGCCGCTTATCAACAGGTCAGATATTGTTTTCTCTTCTTTCATGCACCTCGGATGTATGTGGTGATGGTTTACTCTATAAACAAAATTTATACAGTAAGCAGCAGCAATAGAATTACTCTCATGTGCAGGGGAGGTGATGCACACCACATGTATGTATGTATGTAGCTGGGAGGGGGTACTGGGTAAAAATGTCTTGTGTAAATTAAAGTTTCTTTGGATGTTTCAGGGGCTATTATGTGCGCTGGAAAGCTGTGGACCACTGTGTGAGGAAATTCCTTCAGATTACAGAAAAATGCCCTGAAAGACAGGTAAGCTGTCAGCGTATCGTCCAATCAGTCTTTCTGGAAGCAGGTCACTTGTAATCATGTAATACCTCTTGGCACTTACTAGAGCAGTTATTTTAAATCATTATCCAGAGTAGTGGTCATTTCACTGATCAAAGGAAAACAAAAAGTGTCTATAGAATCTGAGTCAAATATGATTTAAAAATGCTCAACGTTCACTGACTTAATGTTTAAAAAGCTTTTTCTCTTTAAGGCTGCCATCATCTTCCATGTTACCAAATGTTCCCATCTTTTGTATAGGTTTCCATTCCGATTGGTGTCTTTATTTTTCAACCTCACTTTCCTGGTTTAGATCTTGTCTTTGGGTGCGGGCTTCGACTCTTTGTATTTCCGCCTACGTGGAGATGGAGCTCTGAGCGGGGCTGTTGTGTTTGAGGTAGATTTTCCTGATGTCTCTCAGCGCAAGGCTGCCCTCATCACTTCTAATATAACACTAAGGGGGATGATAGACTCCCAGTCACCGTCACTTACAGGTTTGTCTTTTTTTTCTTGGTAGTGGTTTAAAAAAATTATTTGTCAGGTAAAAGATGTACAGTGGGGCAAAAAAGTATTTAGTCAGCCACCGATTGTGCAAGTTCCCCCACTTAAAATGATGACAGAGGTCAGTAATTTGCACCAGAAGTACACTTCAACTGTGAGAGAGAGAATGTGAAAGAAAAATCCATGAATCCACATGGTAGGATTTGTAAAGAATTTATTTGTAAATCAGGGTGGAAAATAAGTATTTGGTCACCTCAAACAAGGAAAATCTCTGGCTCTCACAGACCTGTAACGTCTTCTGTAAGAAGCTTTTCTGTCCCCCACTCGTTACCTGTATGAATGGCACCTGTTTGAACTCATCATCTGTATAAAAGACACCTGTCCACAGCCTCAAACAGTCAGACTCCAAACTCCGCCATGGCCAAGACCAAAGAGCTTTCGAAGGACACCAGGAAAAGTATTGTAGACCTGCACCAGACTGGGAAGAGTGAATCTACAATAGGCAAGCAGCTTGGTGTGAAAAAATCAACTGTGGGAGCAATCATCAGAAAATGGAAGACATACAAGACCACTGATAATCTCCCTCGATCTGGGGCTCCACGCAAGATCTCATCCCGTGGGGTCAAAATGATCATGAGAACGGTGAGCAAAGATCCCAGAACCACACGGGGGGACCTGGTGAATGACCTGCAGAGAGCTGGGACCAAAGTAACAAAGGTCACCATCAGTAACACACTACAACGACAGGGAATCAAATCCCGCAGTGCCAGACGTGTTCCGCTGCTGAAGCCAGTGCATGTCCAGGCCCGTCTGAAGTTTGCCAGAGAGCACATGGATGATACAGCAGAGGATTGGGAGAATGTCATGTGGTCAGATGAAACCAAAGTAGAACTTTTTGGTATAAACTCAACTCGTCGTGTTTGGAGGAAGACGAATACTGAGTTGCATCCCAAGAACACCATACCTACTGTGAAGCAAGGGGGTGGAAACATCATGCTATGGGGCTGTTTTTCTGCCAAGGGGACAGGACGACTGATCCGTGTTAAGGACAGAATGAATGGGGCCATGTATTGTGAGATTTTGAGCCAAAACCTCCTTCCATCAGTGAGAACTTTGAAGATGAAACGAGGCTGGGTCTTCCAACATGACAATGATCCAAAACACACCGCCCGGGCAACAAAGGAGTGGCTCCGTAAGAAGCATTTGAAAGTCCTGGAGTGGCCTAGCCAGTCTCCAGACCTCAACCCCATAGAAAATCTGTGGCGGGAGTTGAAAGTCCGTGTTGCTCGGCGACAGCCCCAAAACATCACTGCTCTCGAGAAGATCTGCATGGAGGAATGGGCCAAAATACCAGCTACTGTGTGTGCAAACCTGGTAAAGACCTATTGTAAACATTTGACCTTTGTTATTGCCCACAAAGGTTATGTTACAAAGTATTGAGTTGTATTTTTGTTATTGACCAAATACTTATTTTCCACCCTGATTTACGAATAAATTCTTTACAAATCCTACCATGTGGAGTCATGGATTTTTTTTTCACATTCTGTCTCTCACAGTTGAAGTGTACCTCTGGTGCAAATTACTGACCTCTGTCATCATTTTAGGTGGGGGAACTTGCACAATCGGTGGCTGACTAAATACTTTTTTGCCCCACTGTAAGAGGTTAGTATGGCATAGTTTAGTTTGGTGAATGGCTGCTTGTGTTTCTTCAGGACCTGTCTATGTGTCCAGCAGTCAGTACCGTCTGTTAGGAGTGGATGTTAGAGAGGAGTCCAAGGTGGAAGAGGCTCTGCGTGTAGCTGGGCTGGACTGGGCTGCCCCTACCCTGATTCTTTCTGAAGTGGTGCTCACCTACATGGAAACACAATGGTGCAGTAATGTATAAAATGTGAACTAGAGATGAATTTGCATACACTTGGGCGTGTAACGCTAGTTAGATGATGGCAATATGTAGCAAAAACTGAGAATTTATGATCAAAGCAAATCACATTTAAAGCCGTTGGATGTTGTGTGTCTTTCAGGTCTGATGCCATCATTGGTTGGGCAGCAAAGCTCCTGCCACAGTCTCTCTTTGTTATGTATGAGCAGATCCATCCGCACGATCCCTTTGGTCAGATCATGCAGGAGCATTTCCAGAAACTCAATTCAACTCTGCATGCACTTCGACAATACCCAGACACCGCCGCACAAAGGCACCGCTTCCTGGACAAGGTCAATACACAACCTATACACAAGACACTTCCTGTATCTTTTCACTTCTTTGAACAAGCACAATACCTCAGACCCAGGTACCAATTGAATAAAAAAAAAAACACAGTCGAGGCATATTCAAAACGTCCCTGTTCCTCCTGTGAAGGTTAAATATATGGCGTCTTTGTCTCCAGGGCTGGGAAGAGTGCGTGTGCCTGGATATGAATAATTTCCTCTTCGGGCTGGTCCCTGAGGAGGAGAGATGCAGATTGGAGAGCCTGGAGCCTTTTGATGAATATGAGGTCAGCTGGGTCTCAGCATTGCATCTTCTATAAAAGTGTGCACTACTGATCAGAAGAGCTCACTTGATTTGGTTTGGATGACACATTTTGTCATTTATCACTAAA